ATAGAGAGACTTTTGAAAGGTGGATTTATTAATTTTGTAGTCTATTTTTTCAAAAAAAATACTTTTGTGTGGTAATTTTGTAAATATTACTACAGACAAAAGATATTTTTGTCATTTCCATAAGGGTTAAAGTTGAAATTTTAACTAAAGAACAAGGGCACTATACAAATAAAGTTTCAACACACTAACTTCCAAAATGCCATTGTATTTTTGTGAAAGTTTCAAATTTACACTTGCTTAATGGTAAATTTACCTATTTAAATAATTTTTTAATAAAAATTAATGACTGTTTTGATAAATACACCCATTGCAACCCCTCCTAACTTGAACCTTTGATATTGAGGAATTATTAGTGTTTGAGCACAAAGTTTAAAATAAAATTTCTTAAATATTGTGAAACATTGTCCGCTTTTAAATTTCACATCCAATGGTTAAAAGTGATTGCGACCTCCTTGTATAAAATACTAAAATCATCTCGTAGTACACAAGCCCTTAAAAAACACAAGGAGCTCACAATTACTATTAATTATTCGATGTGAAGTTGGGTTGCTCGGGATGTGTGATTTATTGGAACAAAAAATCAAAATAAAATTTCTTGAACTATATGATACACTCAAGCTATCAAAATCCGCTTTCGATGGTTAAGAGTGATTTTGAACCCTCATACTAAAGTAAATGGTCTTATTCAACGTTTAAAAAAGCCGATCGGTAACTCGAATCGCTCATACCCATACCCGTATCGAACGGGGAATCGGTGGATCGGTGGATCGGTTCGGAGAGTCGGCAATTTTTGTCCCAAAAGTTTTTCAAAAACTCATTATAAGTCTCTAAAAAAGGTGTTCTTTTAGTTCTAAAATAAATTAGGAGTGGTGCATTATGTACTTTTATTACTTTGTAAAAGTAGGTGAATACTGAGACGAGGTTTGCCTATCTAGATGTCTTTATAATTATTAATCGTAATATATAATATTATAATATTACTTCAAAATAATTTAAAAATATTAGAAAATACTTCCATAGTATAAGATTAAAAAGAAAAGTTTTCATATAAAATGAAATTAATATCACATCAAAGTATCAAACATTTATTAATTCGCATACTCATCCAAAATTATCACAACCTAACTAACTATAATATTATATACTGAAATTACAATTTTTGTTTTGTATTTTAAGAACAAATCTAAAATATCTTATAATATCATCCAAATTTAACAAGTATTTAAAGAAAAATAATACATTACATAATTTATAATGAAAATAAATTCATAAATAAAATACAAGATTTGATTATCAATGTATAATTATTAATCATAATATTATAAAAGACATTTTTTGTTATCACTATATAATTAGTATTCTTTAAGTTTCTATATTTTTTTCTTACATATTGAAATTGAAATATTTAGTTCATATTTTATAATTATTTTACTATGAATAAATTAAAAATTTTCTTAATATATCATCTAATCAAAAAATATTATTTACAACTATAGCAAAAAAATCTGCAAAATTATTAAGCCGAGAGCGAGGGAGAGAAGGCGAGTGAGATAGCAGGACTTGGGGCAAAATTTTCAAAGTTGAATGGTTAATCCCACATCGATTAGAGGATGAGGTTTTGTTTCTATAAATATGTAACAATAACAAATCTACGGTGCTTTCAGAAACTCTGGGATTTCATTTTCTTAGTGGAATCGTCCAATTCCAGGTCAAGACCGAGATTTTTAAACAGCAAAACACTTCATTTGATAATCTCAATATTGAAATATATATACAAGAAAATTTTTATTACTGGATCTGAGACCCTACGATTTTTTATCCAGATTGTCCAATTCCATATCAAGACCGAGATTTTTAAACAGCAAAACCCTTAATTTTATTATCTCAACAGTTAAATATGCATACATGAAAAAAAATAAAGTCCTAAAAATTGAAAAAAAAAATTAAGTCCTAAAATTGTACTCTCATTTTATTGGTGGATCTGAAACAGTCCATGCAATTTTTTATCCAGATCACCCATTTATTAGTAGATCTGCGACGGTCCCTGTGATTTTTTTATTCGGATCGCCCAATTTCGAATCAAAACCGAGGTTTTTAAATAGCAAAACCCTTCATTTGATCATCTCAACATTGAAATATACATACATGAAAAAAAGTAAAGTCCTACAACTTAAAAAAAAATTAAGTCCTAAAAATAGTACTCTCATTTTATTAGTGGATATGAGACGGTCTCTGCGATTTTTTATCCGGATGACCCATTTATTAGTAGATCTGAGACGGTCCCTGCTATTTTTTATTCGGATCACCCAATTTCGAATCAAAACCGAGTTTTTTAAATAACAAAACTCTTCATTTGATCATCTCAACATTAAAATATACGTACATGAAAAAAAAATTAAGTCCTTAAAAAAATTTAAGTCCTAAAAATAGTACATATACAATATCTAAAAAAAATGATTTCACAAGGTTGCAGCCCTACCTTAATAACTTGGGCTGCAACCTTCTTAAACCGTCTAGTAATTGGACGGTGATGAGTAGTGTTAGTAGTCTGCGTAATAACCGGATCAGATGGTACGAAACCAACTACTTCAATTTGATCCTCTTCTTTTTTCCGGCCACCATTTTCCCATCAACACCAACAGGAACATGCCCTGCAACCTCAACACCTTTGTGTCTGGTATTCGCCCAAACCACCTTAAACCTCAATCCAATCACCAAATCCACCCTAAAAACCGCCGTTCGATTCAAAACCTCCAGGGAAGCGGCTTCCCAAAACAGCTCATTCGCCGCCGCAATCACCACACTCTTCTTTGCCGTCTTCTTATGACCCTGATAGAACCCCTGCACATTGCTCTCTCCTATCTTCTTTTCCTTGTAATACAAGCTTACGTTAATGGCGTCGTAGTGAATACCACTGTCTTTGTTAGGGTTTGATATTTTGAGCTGGAAAAGGATGGTGGTATTCCGGGTGGTATTGGGGGAATTAGAGGCGATGTCGAGGGCAGGGGAGTAGAAATCGATGAGGTCATAAGAGGGGTTTTGCGGGCGAAGGGAGAGCCAGAGGAAGAGGGTGGTGAGGCCAAGGAGAAATGTGAAACCAAAGCACCATGAGTAAAAGCCTCTGCATTCTGACATTTGCAGAGAAGGGAGGTTTTGGGGAATGGGGGTTTTGGAGGTGATGGTGGTTTTGAAGAGCGGGTTTTTTTAGAGAGAGCTTGCAAAAAGGTGCGCGTTTTAATTGATTGCGGGCGATTACTGTTTTGACGCGCTCAGCGGAGTAGCTTTGAAACTTCGCGGAATATTACACGGACACGGTTCCTATGCGGCCAGCCCGCATATTGTAGAAATGCGGAGCATGGAAATATATATATTTTTTAAATATAATTTAATCCTAAGTTTCAGACAAGGGAAAGTTTATAGAGAGCCGAGGTTCGAAACAGTCAAATTTGAACTTAAGCAGTCAAATTTGAACTTACTTCAAGAATTTCACTAGAAGTGGTTGTTGTAATACTCAAATATCTTCAAATTGATCATTTCGACATCAAAATACATGGACATGAGAAAAAAATAGATTTCAAGTTTTGAAAATAGTATATTTTGTAACACATTTTTGAACAGTTAGTTTTCAAGTTTTCATAAATCAGATCTACACTATTTTGAAGCTTTAAACATATAAATAACTATAAAAATATATTTTAAGGCTATCACAAAGATTTCCAGTATTGAAACCACAATCTAGTTGTTTAGATCTTAGGCTCTATACAAACCGTACTTTTTAGAGAATATATAATATTTATCATGGAGATCATGAATATGAAAAAAAAAATTGAAAGCTCATGGCAATAAATATATTTTTTAAATATAATTTAATTTTAATTTATACAAAATATATAATATTTAATATGGAGATCATGACTATGAGAAAAAAATTTAACAACAAAAAATAATAATTACATTAAAAAAATATTTAGATGGTTAGTTACGCTTGTTTTTAGACGGACCATCTATTTGCATCTATTTTTAAAATTGATAATTACATTAAAAAAATATTTAGATGGTTAGTTACGCTTGTTTTTAGACGGACCATCTATTTGCATCCATTTTAAAAATTGATGCTTTATATTACTGGACTGTATCTATTGTAGAAATGCCGTCCGGCCCGCAAAGCACCGTTTGCAAGAGGGAGGATTTCTCTCTTGGCAAGTACGGTATCAAAGTATTAAACAGGGGACACGCAAGCTGGGAAGACAAACGCCAATCAGTATTTTACGCAATCAGTTTTTGGATGGTGATGGTTGTTTTGGAAAAATATGAGCGAAAGGTATGAAACCCTTAAAAATATGGGTAATGGTTTCATGCACCCGATCTATAGTAATATGATATAATAACTTTAAAGAACTATTTTATGGTCATTTGTTTGATCCAAATTTTAAAATATACATTCTTTTCATTCTAATGAACAATCACAAAAAAAAAAAAATTGAAAACGCAACCTAGAAAATATTTTTTTAGCCCAATTAACATAAGTTGTTCATTTTAGTGAGATGCTCAGAACTAGGCTTTAGAAGGATTTTTTCATTTCTAATTTTTTTGGATGGCTTTATTATCATTAGACGAACAATTTAAAAAAAAAAAAAATTGATTTTGAGTTTATAAAGGCTAATATCGTGAAATTTACAAAATGAATGGTTTAGATTCGTTTTTGGAAGGAACTCATTTTGACCATATCTAGGGTTTAAATTGAACTTTTTTTTGGGAGGGATTGATTATTGAGATGATGAGAGTGTATAAAATTTGTAGTCATACAAATACCACAAACAAGGTTTTCTAGAAGTGTCATTGTATTATACTATAATACAACCGTTGCATTATACTATAATACAACCGTTGCATTGGAGCATTGCTCTGAAAGTATATATTATTAAAAGGGTCAATATCCTTAACTAGTATTTAACTAAACCCTTTAAAATATTATTAGCGGAATCCACATGTTTCATAAGTTATTCGAATTGTGTTAAAATAAGGGTGCGGTATATATAGAGCCTAGGCTCTAAACAATTAAATTAGAGCCTACCTTCAAATAGTATCGAGAAATGTGGTTTCAATACTAAAAATATTTTTGTGATAGCCTTAAAATATATTTTTGTCTTTATTTATTAAGTTTGAAGCTTAAAAAATAGTGTAGATCGACAGATCTATGAAAACTTGAAAATTGATGGTCCAAAAATACGTCATAAAAATACACTATTTCCAAAACTTGAAATCCATTTTTTTTTCTTATGTACATACATCTTGATGTCGAGATGATCAATTTGAGGATATTAGGGATCAAAACATCCACTTCTAGTGATATTTTTGAGGTATGCTCAAATTTGATTGTTTAGAGCCTCGGCTCTTTATAAACTTTTCCCTAAAATAAATTAGAAGGTTTTTTCGAGGCTCTAAACAATCTAATTAGAGCCCACCTCAAAAATTTCACTTGAAGAGGTTATTTGGATGCCCAAATATTCTCGAATTGATCATCTCGACATCAAGATGCATGAACAAGAAAAAAATGTATTTCAAGTTTTGGAAATAGTAAGGTTTTTTCGAGGCTCTAAACAATCTAATTAGAGCCCACCTCAACAATTTCACTTCAAGAGGTTATTTTGATGCCCAAATATTCTCGAATTGATCATCTCGACATCAAGATGCATGAACAAGAAAAAAAAATGTATTTCAAGTTTTGGAAATAGTACATCAATTTTCAAGATTTTCAAGTTTTCATTGATCTGCTCGATCTACACTATTTTTTAAGCTTTAAATTTTATAATTACAGACGAAAATATATTTTAAGGCTATCACAAAGATTTTCAATATTGAAACCACATTTCTCGATACTATTTGAAGGTGCGCTTGACTTTGATTGTTTAGAGCCTCCGCTCTATACAAACCATGCCCTTTAAAAAAGGGCGGTTTATATAAAGGTCGCAACCTTAAACGGTCAATTTAAGGTGCACCATCAAAATTTATCATAAGATGTAATTTTGATAAAAAAAATCATAGGATGTCCTGCTATATATTTGTTGTGGTGTTGTGGTGTTATGTTGCGTTGCTAGCTTAATTTATGTGATGAGTTTAGATGTCAACGCTAAATTGCTCCATAGATACCTAGTGAAAAGCAATAGTGAAAATTTTCCACTGTGAAATGTGTAAGAATAACCCAAGTAAGTTACATTGAATTAGAACAAATAAAATTAAGAAATTGAAATTTTATATTTTAACCGGTAAATTGATATTATGCTTATAAAGATATAAATAATTAATTAAGATTCAAAGTTAACTTTCAACTAATATTAATCTGAAGTAAACTACTATTTAGAATAGTGGATCGTGTCTTTTTCGTGATGGCACTTTGTTGTGCTACCCGCTCGACTTGTGTCAAATTATTTTAAAGTCTTAAGTGAACTATTTTTCCTAGAACAATTAAATGTGTCGTTTTGTGGTTTTATTATTTTGAATTACCCACAACTGTTTAAAGAAATTAACGTAAAAGTAGACTTTATTTAAGGGTAAAAGTACTACCCACAATTTTCTCTAAAATTGCCGGTGAGAAATAAATTGTCCTTTTTTTCTAAATTGTCCTTTTTTTTTCTAAATTGCCACACTGGACAGAGCGCTATTCTTTCATCGGTAGCCCTCTCAAGTGTTCTCTCTCTAACTTCTCTTGCTCCTCCCTCGCTTTATCTGCAACTTTCTCCATCTGCAAATCTTGGGATCTTTCACACTCATCAGTCTCTCTCTCTCATTATCCCATCTCTGTTCACCCACTAATTCTTTTTCCTTCAATTTCAAATTCTTGACAGCAAAACTATATTCATGTCCTCTTGTCCCTTCTTGCCTCTAGTTTATTGCACGCTTCTGAGTCCATTGTATCAGATATGTACTGATGAGGGAAGCCATTTTGAAGTGAATCTAGTGACACGATTGCTAATAACATAGCAACTATCCATGGCAGTTGAAGTCTACCCTGCAGCGCGGCAGTTGAAGGGAAGGTTTTGCAGGATGATGCTGAAACTTATTTAAAAGCATATTGATGTACCTTCTCACCTGCAAGAAAGGGCAAAAGACAAGCGCTCACTCTTTCCAATTCGAATGCCAAACCCCTTCTCTCTCTCTAAAGTATATCGTAGAACAACCAATCCCATGGCCTCCTGAAGCTCCACTCCTAAAAGACAGTGCACCCAAAAAAGCATCCGGAATCAGAGCTCTTATCCCGTCTCTTTCTCTCTCTCAAAGCCTAACCTCGATACCCTTCTTAATAATAAAAAAAAAAATGTCTGGTAGTGCGGAGATTATGATTAAGGCTTCTGGCACTCGGCCTTCGGCATTGGGCTTTCTCACCGGCAATTTTAGAGAGAGAAAGAAGCCCCCAATTGGAAAAAAAAACACCCCTCAGTGCTTGAGCTCCCTCTCAGATCCAATCAGATCCCTCAATCTCTTTCCACAGCCTTTGATTTCTTCTGGACCCTCTCTCTCTCAATCTCTTTCCAGAGCCTTTGATTTCTTTTGAACCCTCTCTCTCTCTCAGATAATTCCGCCATCTGTCTTCAATTTGTGCGTCGACTGCACCCTTTATTTAAGGGAAAAGTTCATATTTAAACTTCATATATTTTTCACTACAGAGTTTAAATGGGGAAAAGTTTATATTTAAACTTCATATACATTTCACTACAGAGTTTAAATGGCCATGTGTGTAGGATTCTTTAAAAGTTAAATAATGGTAGTTTTTTTATTGTAATTTTACTAGACTATATTGTAGATTTGACTTTAATTAATTTTACATTACATTAGTACAATGCTTCATTCATGTGGTTGCACTATGTTTTGCTTTCCGTTCAACTTGTGACAAATTTATACAAGAAAAGTTATCATGAATATAGAATTTATTTAAAATTACTTTAAAAAATCATGATTTTAATATGAAATTGTCTACCGGTTCTTTTTTGTACATAGAGATCACAATTATTCTTATCTTATAAATTTCGAAAGGGATTGTTTACAAAGAGACTATTTAGCTTTTATACATGGAGATTACAATCATTCTCAATTATTAGATATCAAATTGGATGGCTTGAGGTGAGTCACGAAGTTCGAAAAAAAAATTTGGAACTTTGTGTCTATTCAATGATACTCGTACAATCACCCATTTTGAAATTTAAGGGACAAGAATAATTGTGACCTCCATGTATAAAAGA